TCTAGCACGTTGTAGCAACTCATTTGTTTGTTCTTTGGTTTGGTTTGGGGGCCACATCCAACTGTACTCTAGGGCTATTTCTGGCTGGGTGTGACCCCCAAACCAAACCTAGGGCAAACTGGGTTAGTGATTAGGGTTTACTCCTAGTAGTGCTCAAGGAACTATGTGGTACAAGGTGTCAGACCTTGGGCCTTCTGCATGCAAAGCATATGCACTGGCCTTTGAACCATCTCTTCAGCCCCTCATATTGCTTTGTTGAATGAATGGGTAGAATCTGGAATGATTAACTATGCTTTTTTTTTAACTCGAGTGCTATCATTGACTCACTATATAATATTGAGCAAGTGATTTCTTTTCCAAATTTTAGTTTATTTATTTGTGAACAGGGTGAATAATATCTAGGTAAATTGTCATGGCTTTTGTGGTTATCAAGTTTTATACTATAAGTGGAGTATCTTGCAAATATTTAGTAGTAATTTTTTTAAGGCATAGAAAGGCATCACAATCTCATACAATGTACCTAAATAACCTCAATATAAAATTACTTTTTGTTTGTTTTTTGTTTTGAATTTTGGGTCACACCCTCGTGTGCTCAGGGCTTATACTTGGCTCTGCTCAGGGATCATTCCTGGTGGTACTCAGGGGAACATTATAGGTGCTGGGGATGGAACCCAGAGTTTGAGTATGTAAGGCAAATGCTTTTCTCTGCTGCTGATTTATCCCTCCAGCTCCTAGAAGCACTATGTTGAGCCTGATATTAACATTAGAAAGAAACCATGTTCCATAATACCTTAAAAGTTTGGAAAAGAAATTTATATAGTTAAAAATTTCTTGGACAGGTACTAGGGATTGCATTGTCCACATAGCCCCTGAACTTTGATCTCCACCCTTCATGCCATGGCCAGTTTCCAATGACCTCATGGTTGGGTCCTCCAAGAATGTTTGCCTTGACATAACCAGCATTTACCCTTGCATTTCTGAGTCTGAATCCCCTCCGAAGTGCAAAGCAAGTGAGCCTGGAGTACTTTGGACAGGACTCACAGCCCTCTTAGTCTCTAATGTTTTCTTCATTTTTCCCAATTCCTTTTTTCCCTTCTGTTCTTGTTTGGTTGTCTCAAGTATTTAATCCTGAAACATTTATCCTGAATTTATTCTTTGGCTTCTATCATTTATTCCTTGGCTCATGCTAAGCCCATTTAGTATGTGTGTGTGTGTGTGTGTGTGTGTGTGTGTGTGTGTACATTTTTAAAGTTCACCATGTTTTTCAGTCCAGTGATACCTAATTATAGTGTTCCCATAGTTTTCTCTCTCCTTGTTAGTGCTCAGAGTCTCCTGTTGCTTTCCTCTTTTCAGTGAACAGCTTTACCATTGTCACTTTGAAGTCTTCACTCAAGACAGGAGAGCCTAGCATTTTGCAGACCTTTCCTGGCTTTCTTCTTTATTGTGTCCAGTGTTCTGTGGGGGACTGGGACTGATGGGCTTGTTTTGTGCAGGCACGGGTGGCAGGCTAGGGTTCACACTCACTCATTCCATCAGATCCTGTGGGGCTGAGTTTGCCTTGCAGGCCTTGCAGGCTCTGCTAAGATTTAGCAGTCCAGTCCCTCCCAGTTTCTGGCGCCTTGCTGTGTTTTTGTTGTCCTTAGCTCCTGGCAGCGGCCCCCAGCAGAAGCCAGTTGTCCTTAGACTTTGGAGCAGATCTTCTCTCTGATCCTGGCCAGATGCCTGTGCTCAGCCAGAGGGGGTGTTGGTGGGGAGGCTGTGTTCCTGCAGGCAGGTCCCGACTGCCACCCTGGCTCTGAGCATCCACAGTTGCTTCCCTGCTTGGGGCCACAGGCCTGTGTCCACTGCATCTGCAGCCTCCTGAGATGCAGGTCTGATGTCCTGCTCAGGCTTCGTGAGGGTGAGGATTGACCGGGCTGCGGGGAGGTTTGCAGCTTTTTATTATCCTGGGCTCATTCTCTGCCTCTGTCCCTCCCATGATGCTGGACCCTGAAAACGCCCGTGCTGTTCCAAGGGCCCCTCTGTGGGGTCACATATGGGAGCCTGTGGTCACTTTTGTGTTGTTTGTTTAGGTTTGGGGGCCACACTTGCGGTGCTCAGGACTTATTCCAGGCTCTGTACTCACCAAACACTCCTGTAGCACTCAGAGACCATGTCAGGTACCCGGGATCGAGCTCAGCTCCACTGCATGCCTAACCGTGTTACTGTGTCCCTGGTTCCACTTCTGTGTTTCACTGCAGTTTTTGTTTTAGGGTCCAAAGCCTTGCAAGGCCCCTCCTCCTGCATACCCCCCTCCCCCGTTTTAACTTCTAGTGGAGCCAGTTTCACAAGAAGAAATACATTTTTTCCTTGTGGGGTTTTAGCTCTAGAGTCCTACTCTTCATTGTTTTTAATTTGTGTTTAGATCAAACCCGGTGTTAGTCCACTGCTAATCTCAGCATGATGCTCAAGCATCACTCCCTGTAATTCTTGGGGGTGGGGGGACACTATGTGTTGTGGAAATTCTCACTGAGAGTCAGTGAACATCCTGAGAGTTGGGAGAACTCGGGTTTATTACACTGTTGGACCCAGCTGAAAGGGAGGGATAAGGCAAGGTTCAGACTGTGACAAGGACATGCATTGTTAAAAAGCAAGGTTAGAAACCACCTCAAGTACACCCCAATGCATTCTGTGGTTATATGGTGTAGCCCAGACTTAACTGCTTTTGGCAGCTTCTGCTTCCCTTGTCAGTCTGCTTGAAATGAGGGCAGATGTTGATTTTCCTCCATATTTTGGATTGGGGGTTGAACCTGGGTCTCTGGCATGCAGATAATGACCTCCAGCCTGTTGAGCTATCTCTGCTCCCTGTTGTTATGTTTTAGCTTATTAATTAATTGTCATTGATGTTGTTGTCGCGGGCTGGAGCTATAGCATAGTGGATAGGGCGTTTGTCTTGCATGTGGCTGACCCGGGTTTGATTCCTCCGCCCCTCTCCTGGAGCCTGGCAAGCTACCTAGAGTAATCAGCCTGCACGACAAAGCCTGGCAATCTCCCCGTGGCATATTCGATATGCCAAAAACAGTAACAACAAGTCTCACAGTGGAGATGTGACTGGTGCCCATTTGAGCAAATTGATGAACAATGGGAGGACAGTGGACAGTACTGTAGTGCTACAGTTGTTGTCACAGTGACAGAGGTTGTACACATGCTTGGGCTGTGGTGTCTCCCCCACTTTCAGCTGTGATGCTTGTTGGGGGATGGGGGGTCATACATCAGGGTGTCTGGTGCTCAGTGTCGCTGAGATTCACCCTCCCCTAGTCCACAGGGGCTGGCACTCTGAGTAGCACCTAAAGAGTGGTTGTGATGCAGTGCTCACTCCAGTGCTTGATAGGGATCATGCTTCCTGTCCATGCTGCTATTTCCGTGAAGTTCACTGCTCAGCAGGTGGCGCAGTCCTTTCTGTGCTCCCACCCTCACTGCAGGGCAGCTTGAGATTACTAATGGTGCCAGGGATCACTAAGAGCAGGGCGCAAACTGAGCTATCAGGATCGTGATGCTTGGTGCATGGGGCTCACCAGGGATTGAATTTCTTTTCTTTTTTTTTTTTTTTTGCTTTTTGGGTCACACCCAGTGATGCACAGGGGTTACTCTTGGCTCTGCACTCAGGAATTACTCCTTACTCCTTGGGGTGTTGGGGGACCATATGGGATGCTGGGAATCGAAACCGGGTTGGTCGTGTGCAAGGCAAACACTATACCTGCTGTGCTATCGATCCAGCCCCCAGGGATTGAATTTCTGACTCTGTTGCAAGGCCGCCTCTCCAGACCATGGCGCCATTTCTTCAGGCCCAGGACTTCAAGTTGCTATTAAGCTTTTTCTGCAGGACCTGGGAGATAGCTCAAGGGCTAAAGTGCATGCTTTGTGTGCAGGAACCCCAGATTCAAGTCCTGGCACCTCATGGTCCCGTGAATACTACTGGAGCAACCCAACAACCCCTGAAAAATGGAGCTGGGTGTAGACCCTGAGCAATGATAAATGTCATAAAATTGTTTTTTCTATCAGTAAAAGTAGGGAGTCAGTATTGCTTATACTATGCAGAGAGATAAATAAATGAGTGGAGGGGCTGGAGCAATAGCACAGTGGGTAGCGTATTTGCCTTGCACGTGGATGACCTGGGTTCTATTCTCAGCATCCCATATGGTCCCCTGAGCACTGCCAAGAGTAATTCCTGAGTACAGAGCCAGGAGTAACCCCTGTGCATCGCCAGGTGTGACCCAAAAAGAAAAAATAAGTGGTTATTTATGTAGTTAAATTAACATTCAGATATTACAACTTCAATTTTAAACCTTTTAAGTGGAAACTTAATAATTTATTACAAATCCCCTGTCTTATCATCAAGAGAGTTCTGAATGTAATCTATATTTTTCATAGATTATAGTTTTTTGAACCAAATTGCATTATTATAGGGAGGTGGCTATTTAGTTACTCACAAGAGCTGTGGTTTGCGATGATTTGACTTTTGAAGTTTTCCTGGCCCAGTCCTTAGTGCTTCAGTGAGAATTGATGCACTGTGTTTTAGTTATCATGTAGGTTTATGCACATAGAGATTATTCTGCCCAATCTAGCAAGTTGCAGGGTTGGGGTTTGAGCCCCAGTGGACTGGCGCCAGCAGCTTTACAGGAAACTGAGGTTCAAAAGAATTAACACTGAAAAATCAGCCAGTAAGTGACAAGACTTCATTTTCCTTCTTCCTCCTCCATTCTCCTTCCTGAGGAAGTTCTATAATTTTTTCATCTTGACTCTGATAGAGGTTATAATTGCTAAACAAGGCAAACACTTCCTTTTCATTCTTTTGATTCACTTGTCTGCCTTCTTCTTCCAACTATCCGTCATCCTTGTGAGGCAATATTTATTGAGTGACTGTGTTTGATGTGATACATCTGCTCTGAAAAAGTTTAGAGAAACATAGCACTTGTCTCTGGCGGTTTTTTCCTAAAACTGTGTCTTCTTGCCCCCACCAGAGAAATCGGAACAATTGTCAGGTCTTTAGGCTGCTGCCCTAGTGAAGGTGAGCTCCAAGATCTGCTTGCAGAGGTAAGTCGAGCAAAGGAAGTCTTATTCACAGACTGATTTTTCTCCTTGTAAAGAAAACATCTCCAATTGAAGCTTACAACATGCGAAATTGAATGTGCTCATGAAAATATTAGGACAGCTATGAGCCAGCTAACAAGGTCTGAAAAAAGTAATATCAGATCTTGAAGAAGTGGCTCTGATTCAACAATACAGGGGATAATTAAGACCCCACTTTAGAATTTGTCCTCTATAAAATTTGCTGAAGGAAGGGCAGTGGACAAAAGACCATATGCAGAAAGAATAGTGACAAGTAAAAGGAGTAGAATAAATAATATATGTTCAAAAGGCTTAGAAGCAGAAATAGAAATAGTTATATATGTTTGTTTTATTTTGTTTTTATGTAAGCCGGTGCTGCTCAGGACTTCTTGCTCCTTGCTGTTTGCTCAGAGATCAGTCCTGGTGAGGCTGGAGGGGTGTATCATACAGAGTGCCAGAGGTAGAACCCCAGTCAGCTCTGACAAGCTGCATACAAGTCAACCGCCTTGCCCTCTGTATTATCACTCTGGCCTCAGGAATTTATATTTATTGGGGAATAAAACTGACTTTTTTAGTGTGTCTCACAGTGACTCAAAAAAAATCAAGTCATAAATAATGTAATGCTTAAATAAAATAATGTAATCATAAATAATATAATGTAATGTTCATTATTGCACAATCTTTTATTTAAAAAAAACAAGTTTTAGAGACGTGGTTTTCAAATTTTGTTTTGAAGTCACACTCTGAAGAATTCTTGGACTTTTTCAAGGACAGAAAGAGCAGGACAAGAGGAGGAAGCCATGTAGGCTATTCTTACTATAAACAGAATGAAAATAAACTATATGCAGATAAGTGAAAATTAAACAAAACCTGAAAAACAAAAGTTAACTTTTTCAGTAAATAATAAGTATAATACTGGGCTGGAGCGATAGCACAGCGGGTAGGGCGTTCGCCTTACAAGCGGCCAACATGGCCGACCCGAGTTCGATTCCTCCGCCCCTCTCGGAGAGCCCGGCAAGCTACCGAGAGTATTCGATATGCCAGACACAGTAACAACAAAGTCTCCAATGGAGACGTTACTGGGCCCGCTCGAGCAAATCGACGATCAACGGGAGGGCCTTTACCTTTACCTTTTAATAAGTATAATAAAATATCAGGAATTAACAATATTGATCAACTGGTTATGATTTAAAATGGTTTATATGTATCATAAATGATTATAATTGTCATAAATGAAATTATAATTTTTATAAATAAAATAAATTCTTTTCATTTATGAAAACAATTATATAAAACACTTATTTTATGTAATATGACTATTATAACTATAAATTATTATAAATGATTTTTATTTACCTTTTCTTAGGTACATTGACACTTTTTTTTATTTAAAAAGTTTTGTTGGGGAGGACTGGAGCAATAACACAGCAGGTAGGGTGTTTGCCTTGCATGTGGCCAACACGGGTTCGATTCCCAGCATCCCATATGGTCCCCCAGCACCAATAGGAGTAATTCCTGAGTGCAGAGCCAGAAGTAACCCCTGTGCATCTCTGGGTGTGACCCAAAAAGCAAAAAAAAAAAAAAAGGTTTTTTTTGGCTTTGAGGCGGTGCTCAGGGCCTACTCCCAGCTCTGTGCGTAGGAATGGCTCTTGGCAGTGCTTAGGAGACCACATGCAGTGCTGAGATTGAACCTTAGTTGGCCATATGGAGGCCAAGCACCCTACCTGCTATACTATCTCTAGCCCCACATTGACACAGCTCTTGAAAAATACAGATACAAATGCTCATGGATTAGATACAAATACAAATTAGATACAGATACAAATGCTCATTGTTAAGATAGCAGTTTCATCTATAGATTCAATATATTCTCTTTTTTTCCCTGTAATTTGGAGAACATGTTTATGGTAGTCACTTGACTTGATCACTTGACTTCCTGTTACTCATCAATTTGCTCGAGCAGGCACCAGTAACGTATGTATTTGTCCCTCTCACGTGCTAGTGTAGCCCAATGGCGTCTGTTCATTCTAGGAATATGAAGAGCCTCAAACTGATCGGCCAGGTTCTTGACAAAGAAGTCTGACCATAATGTAGGTGGGCGGCCACGCGGTCTTTTGATGTCCTGTGGAATCCACTCGGTAACAGTTCTAGTCCAGCGGTCATCTCCAAATCTCATTACGTGACCAGCCCATCTGATTTTCGATGCCTTTGAAGTGAGACAGCGTCCCTGATTCTTGACCATTGATGGAGGTCGGAACTTCGGATTCTTTCTCTCATTTGAGTGAAACGTGATACTTGAAGCATAGCTCTTTCGATTCCTCTTTGGGAGACCCGAATAGCGTTCCCATCCTGTTTTCGTAGGGCCCAGGTCTCTGAGGCGTACGTTAATGCAGGAAGAACAGTGGAATCGAAGAGATGTGCCCGGAGTTGGAGGTTCTTCATTCTCATAGCTATTTCTTTGACACTTTTGAAGGCATTCCAAGCCGCTCTCTTCCTCCTGCACAACTCAAGTGCCAGGTCATTCGTCATGTTGACTTCTCGACCTAGGTACACATAACTGTTGCATTTGGAGATGGTCGTTCTGTTGAGAGTGAATGGAACGTCAGGAACGAGACTGTTTCTCATAAACATTGTCTTCGTAAGATTCAGCTGTAGTCTGACCTTTCCACACTCATGGTCGAAGTCGGCCAGCAACTGTGACACTTGGCTAATGTTTGGTGTTATTAGAACAATGTCATTAGCAAAGCGGAGGTGGTTTAGTTGCCGACCATCTATCTTCACTCCCATTCCTTTCCATTCCAGTCATCGCAAGACGTTCTACAGTGTGGCACTGAAGAGTTTTGGTGAAATGGTATCACCCTGCCAAACTCCTCTCTTGACATGGATGATCACTTCTTTGTAGAATGGTGAGATCCTGGTAGTGAATCTGTAGTACAGCTCGCAGAGGATACTGATATATTGAGTTTGAATGCCCCGATTGGCTAGGGCTTTAATGACCGCTTCCATCTCAACAGAATCAAAGACCTTCTTTAAATCAATGAACATTAGACAGAGTGGCATCTTGAATTCCCAAGAAACCTCAATGAGCTTGGTTATCATGTGGATATGGTTGATCATGCTGAATCCTTTGCGGAACCTGGCTTGCTCGCATGGTTGTCCTTCATCTACTATTCTGCCAATCCTATTCTGGATGACTTGAGTGAATAGCTTGTAGATGACAGACAATAGGCAGATCTGGCAAAAGTTGCCAATGTCATGGATGTCTTACTTCTTGTACAGTAGTACAGTCCTGCTGGTTTTCCATTGGGATGGAAACTAGCATTCAGACAGGTAGCATGTGAATAGCTGAGCCAGTGTATTGATGAGTACGGATGGCAAGTTTTTCAGGTGTTCAGGTCTAACCTTGTCTGGGCCAGGTGCTGTTGTTTCTTTACTGATGAAATGGCATGTCAGATTTCGGAAGGGAGAACGCTGGGAATGACATATCCATCCTGCAGAATTTGGTATGTGGGCAGGTGGACGTGGCTATCAAAGAGATCTGAGTAGAAGTCATGGATAATCTTCTCCATTGCCCTTCTGGAAGATGTGATAGATCCATCAGGACATCTGAGGGCAGTCATCTTGGTCTTGTAGTTGGTGAAGGACAGATGGGCATTGCAAATGCTTTTCCCGGCTTCTGCCACATCTACCAGCACTGCTGCTCTTCTCTCTTTAAGATCTTCCTTTATTGCATCTCTGTATTGCCTTGTGAGCTCGGACATTCACTTGTGGTTGTCTGAGGCATGCACCAAGCCACGTTGGCAAATAAGCTCAAGAGTTTTCGAAGACAGGCATTTTTTTGTGGCTATCTCTCTCTTGGCGTTCCTCGCACAATCATGGAGGTGTTGAACCGGTCGATCGTATTCCTCATCAATGTTGTCAAGGACAGCATCTTCCCATGTTGCAGCAATAGTGCCAAGGAACTCCCAGTTGGTGGTTGTTCTGGGAGTTCTTTTCTTAAACCTTGCAGCCCTTTCTCCCCGCTCTGTGAAGTAGAATTTTGCATGAAGGAAATGGTGGTCCAATCCCTTTTGAAATGTTGGGACAACAGTGACGTCGGTCAGGCAAAACTGTCGATTGAATATGATGTGGTCAATTGCATTGTGGAACCGTTCACTGGGAGACTCCCATGTCCAACGTTTATATTCGGCCTTCTGGAACTGTGAGTTACCATGGATGGTCTTGGTCAACATGGTGAACTCAGACAGTCTGTCACCCTGTTTGTTCCATTCTAGGCCATGGGTCCCGATGTGGAGTTCTTCAGCTGATCTTCTTGGTCCTATCTTGGCATTAAAATCACCGACAATGATCTTGTAGAAGGTGTGGTCTTATTTATAGAACTTCTCTAGCTTCATGTGGAACTTCTCAATTTCTCCTTCATCATAATTGGATGTTGGTGCGTGGACAATGAAGATAGAAACTGCCAGCAGTGAGCCACATCTATTCAAGTGTAATCATCTGATTTGGGTTGTTAGGCATTTGAATGAATCAATGCTCATGGCCAAGTTCTTGTTGACAAGGACACCGACACCTCCGATGCCTCTTTTGTCGCATGTTCCGAGGAACAGTTCTCCAGTGTCGAAAATGGTGTGATGTGATTGATGCCTTCTCGTCTTGGTCAGACCAATGATGTTGTACTTGATTTTTCATGCTTTTACCATCAGATCCTCGATGGATGCATCTGATTCCAGCATATATGCATTGAAAGTACAGACAATCATTTTTGTCTTTCTTTGTTTTGGCAGCCTAGTTTGGCCTTGAGATTTTATCAACCTCTCCTTCCACATCCTTCTCGATGCTGCCGTATTGGTGACTCCTTCAGGATCAGGGGAATGAGACGCATTGTATTTACTGGTTTTGGCATATGGAATATACAACAGATAGCTTGCCACGCTCTGCCATGCAGGCGAGATATTCTCGGTAGCTTGCCAGGCTCTCTGAGAGGG